TTCTATGGAAGAAAAAGCATCTAATCAACCCTGAATGTGTAAACCCATTTGACTTTATGATATTCTGCATCAATCTTTCGGATAAACTATAATTCTTTCTTGAAACTTTTCTTGCTCGATTCGATATTTAGAGCAGGTATAATTACGATTGCTTTCTGATTCTTGGATATATCTTTCTATTCTTCCTTTTTCATAAGAATAACTAGAAGTTAGGTCATCCAATATTCTATTTGTCATTTCTATTTGCTCTGTTAGGGATAAACAGCTGTTATACGTCACTCTAAAAAGGATATTAATTGATGAAGTTTGTGCTGAACTATCAATTCCAAAAATTCATCTTTTTACTAGATGTTCGCAATTTTCAAAAATTATATCATATGAATTCCTGCCATACTCATAACTAATAGCCTTAGCAATATGCCTAATTATAATATCCTTTTTTTTAAAAGGAACTTTGGGATGAAAACGGATTACTTTTTTGTCATTTGACCCCAACACACTACTGGAACTACTGGAAGCACTTGCAGAAGCAAAAAGAGAAAAAGGGGAACTGCTTGAGGAAAGAGAGGAAGAAGCAAAAAGAGACGAGAGCAATAAAGCACTACCAGAATTACTGCCTATATTAAAATTTTTGCTACTCGGGTCACAAAATTCACCTCATATATCAAATTTAGCAGGTTTTCCACTACCAGGCAAATGAGCCACTCATTTATTACCTAAATAAACACCAAAATGAACCCCTCTATGCACAATGTCTAATGGTAGTAAATATTTGTCTGGGTTGCTTCTAACAGCATCAGGTAAGGACTTAATTTTGAGATAAGGAGTATCTGAAAAATTAATCGATGACATATCAAAAAACTTTTCCGTTATGGCTGTAATCGGATAATCTCCATTTAATTTTCTTTCTGCTTCGCAAGAGTTAGAAACTTTTTCCACCACTAAATCACTCTCAATGTTAGCAACATAAGAAGGTCGATAAACTATTACTCAATTATTATCACTGCTATCCGTTGCTATCGCACAACTATAATTAGAGGCATCTGGTTTACTATCATTAAAATTAGGAGTAAAGAAAATAATTTTTTTAATCCTACCATCAAGTTTGTTTCTTATCTCACTATTATTTTTGGCTCAATCCTCGCACCTTAATATTTGTTCTAAGTCTACTAAATAATGATAATCATAATTACTAACTCCTATTTTATTTAATCTTTCTTTTTCACTATAACTAATTTCATTGTTGTTATATCAGTCTTGTAAATATTTTTTTGTCATAAATTCATAAATATAAATGTATATATAATATTATTTTACCTTAACTCTTTTATCTATGTTAATTTTCGTCTTTCTGCTTAAAAACATTAATGAACCCTACCGCCCATTAATTAAAAAATTTTCTTATCCTTATAAAAAACAAAATGCTTCATGAACTAAACCACGAATTAACTTCTCAAAAGATAATTACTAAAATTCCTAGCCAACCCGGTTGCTACTTATTCAAGGATAAAGAGGGAACCATAATTTATATTGGCAAAGCCCAAAATCTCAAAAAAAGAATTAGCAGTCATTTTCTAACTTCTCAAACTAATTATTTTCACCAACAAATCCACAGTTTTAATACCATTATCACTAATAACGTTAAAGAAGCCTTGATTTTAGAACAAAATCTGATTAAAAAATACCAACCTCGTTTTAATGTGCTACTAAAAGATAACCATTATTATCCTTATTTAGAAATTACGAACGAGACAAAATTTGGTAAACCGCAAGACCCCCGCTACAAAATAGTGCGGAAAATTAACCTCCAAAAAAAAAGTGAGTATTTTGGTCCCTTCCCTGATGGCACCAAAGCCCGGGAAATCCTACAATTGCTTGAAAGGTTATTACCACTTGCTAAATGCAAGGGCAATTTAGGAAAACCTTGTTTTTATTATACTATTAATCAATGCTCTGGTCATTGCTGGCAAAAAGTAGATGCTTCTTATTATGAAAATATCAAAAAAGAAGTTAGAAAGTTTTTTCGTGGTCAAACCCAAGAAATAAAAAAGAAAGTTAAAAACTCTTTACGAAAAAATATTACTAATTTAGCCTTCGAAATCGCCCAAAAAGAAAAAAAAATATTGGATAATATCGACTTTTTTACTAGCCAGCAAAATATTGAATTTGCCAAGGGAGAAAATTGTGATTTTTTAGGTCTTTATGAGCAGGAGAATGTTTTGGCTTTTTGTCTCCTTATTTATCGTTATGGAAAATTAGTGGCTACTGATGAAGTCGCTTTCCAAGTTTGAAGTAGCCAAGAGGAAATTACCGAAACTTATCTTTACCAGTTTTATCAGAATAATTTACTACCACAAACACTTTACACTTCCAAAAAATTTATCGGAGTTGAGTTATTGGGGGAAGAGTTTGGATTTACTTTAAAGTTACCTCAACGAGGACGTAAAAAAGAAGTAATTAATTTGGCTCAACAAAATGCTCAACGAGTTTGACAAAATAACTATTTAAATGAGTTTCAACAAGTCAACAAGAGTCAAGTACTAACCGAAATTAGTAACTTTTTGTCTATTCCTACACCTAATTACATTGAATGCTTAGACATTTCTAATCTTTACAAGCAAGATGTGACGGCTGGCTTTTTAGTGTTCATTGATGGAAGAAGTAATTTAGCCAAAAGTAAACTATACAAATTAGAAAACAAAGTTGAAGAAAACCTAGTTAATAGGAAGCAAAATACTAATCAAGAGAGCGATTTATCCCGAATAAAAAACGCTTGCCTTATTCATTACCGAAAGTTCTCACCAGAACACATACCTCACTTAATAATAGTAGATGGAGGAAAAGAGCAAGTTAAAACAGTTCAGCAAGTTTTAAAAGAATTGAACTTAAAGATTCCAGTAATTGGGCTAGTCAAAGATGAAAGACATCAAACCGCCAAAATAATTACTGATAATTTAAAAGAATTAGCCTTTGGTAAAAATGAGAGAATTAAGATTTTTTTCACCAATTGTCAAGAAGAAGTGCATCGTTATGCAATAAATTTTCATAGAAAGTTGCACCGAAAAGGTATTTTAAAGAGTTAAATGTCCTTTTTTCATTTTTTTGCAATCGTGCTTCTTGCTTAAAAATTCTCGTAATTTTAAGTATTATTGTAAAAAAGTAAGGTTTTTATTACTTCCGCTACAACTACTACAAGAACCACGCTTCTTAATTTTCTTATCCTTAAATCATCATAATTCAAATTTCCATCATACTCATAAGTTTTCATAAACTGTTCAATAAGAAAGAACTTTGTATTCTTCTTTTAATTCTTGAACTAATTCAAACGTTTTTTTATTATTTATTAATTTGTTGACCAAATTAAACATATAGTTTTGTAATTTTTTCCCACTTCTATTTTGCCTGAAACTAACCACAAGTCCTATCTCAATCTCGTTAGAGATGGGAGTAGTTTGTGTAAACTACAAATGATAATTAATCATTTCGGTCTGTAAGTTTCGCACTAGTCATACAACTTCTCTTAAAATTTTTTTTGTTCCTTTT